AGGGGAGCAGGACTCAGCGTTTGCTCCACCCAGGCCTCCTTGGTTGCTGCCCTTCTCATTGCCTCATCCATTGCCATGTCCTTCCCTGCAGGTGCTGCTCCCATGTCTGCCTGCTGTCCCTGCCTCTCTCCTCTACACCAGTCTCTTCTCCTTCTAGGCTGCCCTTGGAATCTTCTGCCCACTGCCCTAACTCCTGCCTGCCCCCCTCCCGCTGTGCCCTCTCACAGTCCTGTAGGGGATGAGGCGGAGCACTGCTTGGCAGGTTGAGTCAGCCCTGGAAATCTCTGCCTCCGTACCCCAAATCCCTCAGCAGAACCACCAACCCCCAGGTCCAGATCCCTCATGCAGCCCAGAGAAGCTCGTGCCTCATCTTGCCGGGGCCAAGGGGCTTGGCAATATTATGTCACAGGGCCTCTGAGCCAAGGAGAGTGGTCCACATCTGGCGTTTTCCTCTGGCTCCCCTTCCTGTAGAGGAAGCCAAGCCTTGGAAGCCGTGTGGGGGCTGAAATATAACAGACCAGCAGATCTGGATGTCTGTCTCCTCTTAGCCACCCGCTGGCTGTGTTACCTTGGGCAAGTTACTCAGCCTCTCTGAGCTTCAGTTTCAGTTCTATAAAATAGGGCTAATAAAGCCCATCCAAATTGTGTTCTCGCCAGGTATAAGAGAACTAAGAAAGGGGAAGGATCCAGGCAAGTATATGACACAAGTGGGATCAGAATATATGTGAATGTCTTCTCGTCTAACTTTCCCCAGTAGCCAAGTCAGAATTTTGGAGAAGTCCCAGCAATGGGCATGAGTCTGACACTCTGTCCCCCAGGTGTGGTGTAAGGATCCGCACTTCCTGCTGGCTGCTGGGGTCACTGGCCCAGGACGGAAGGAGAGGTGGTCTCTTTCCCCAGGCTGGTGATGTGGGCCTAGGTGCCCAGAGGCTTCCACCCACCGCACTAGTGGGGCTGCCCCAACCAGTGCCCAGAGCAGCTTACTCTGGAGTGAGCGTCCCCTCCAACTTAGGAACTCAGAGACCCCAGCCTAAATCCTTCAAGGTGTTAGGGCATCCGCTACCTGATCTGTCAAGTGGGGCTCCCGGGCCCTTCCCTGCCTGTGATTGCCTGCCCCCAGGACAGTCAGGGGCATAAGAAGCAGCAGAAACAGTCTGGGCTCTGGGGTGATGGAGGGCTGCAGAATCTTTGCCTGTGGGGATGTCCAGCCTTATGGAGAGGTGAGGCAGCCTGTGCAAAGAAATTAGAGAGAGACTTCAGAGCTCCTTCAGGCAAGGGCAGGGGAGTCACGGGGTGGTCCCCACCCCAGCCTGCATCTCTGAGGGACAGCACTATGGCCAGGGGGTGCAGGATCTCCCATGATGCCAGTGGGGCCTCAAGAACACCTGCATCTGTGCTTTTCACACTCTCCCTTCGAGCCCAAGGCCCGAGTAAGAGGAAGGGGTAGGTTCAAGGCCACCCCACCAGATTTAGAACCAGACCGGGAGCCAGGTCCTGGAGGAGGTTTCTGGACACAGAGGTCACCCAGGGGTGGACAGCAAGTGCAGAACCGGAGGAGAAAAGCAGTTCTTCCACGGGACGCTGAGAGGAGCAGCTTGGCTGTTGCAGAGTTAGGGGCTGACACATAAAGGGAAGCTTGCACTCGGCCTTGCCCTCCAGCTCCAGATGGCAGGGCACTTGGGACTGATGGTGCCATGTTGCTTAGTGCCCTGTGTGTGCCAGGCACTGGGGTGTCTTTCAGTACCTGGGTGTCTGGACCTTAAGAAAGTAGGACTGCAGGGATCATCAAGTCTGCCCCCTCCTTCCCTGTGCCATTTTATGTTTTACACATGGGAAACCCGAGAGGCCAGGCCCCAGCTCTGCAGCCGGAGGGGAAGGAGCTCTGTGTGTCCTGGTCTCTGTTCTGTCCAGTCCCCACCGGCTGTGGAAACAGCCGAGAGGCTGACTCGCCTTTCACCTCCATGGCTCCAGCTCCTCAGAGCTTCAGAGAGGAAACAGCTTGCTTCCCCACCCACCCTTTCACCAGCCGGCAAGCAGGACTCCTGGCTGTTAGGCCTGGCTGTGTGCCCTGGTCTATGCCCCTGGGCCTCTCTGGGCCTCAGTTTCTCCATCTGTAATATGACAATGAGGATGACTCAATTGACCACTCTCCTTTCAGCTCTAAGGTGCTGTCATCTTGAATTGGGGCTGGAACCATGAGGGACAGGCCACAGTCCACTGGAGGTGGGAGTGGCGGTGAGGAGGGGAGCTCTGGGCTCACTTCTCTGACCAGGAGCTGCCTGTGCAACAGGGGCAAAGCTGTGACCCTTGTGAGGCAGTGGGGAGGGGTGGCGAGCTGCCAGGGATAGGGCAGCCTGCTCCGAGGCCTCTGGCTGCTCAGGGATACCCACAGACCCACCCGTGGGCAGGGGAGCGTGGCCACAACATGGGGGAGAGGTTGTAATTAGCGCACTTGCTGGCACCCACCAGACTTCCCCTTCCTCTTGATGATTTGCTGCCAAAACAGTCCTGATTCCTGTGGACTTGCTTCAATCTTATCCAGAAAAGAAAAGAAAGAAAAGGGAAAAAAATAAGAGGGTTGTTATTTGTGAAATTGCATTTCCCAGCCATGAGAGTGAGTCATGCCACTTGGAGCTTCAAGTTTCTTGTTTGGATGAACTTTTCTCTGGGAAGCTGAGGCGATGCTGCCCTCCCTCAGGCCAGCTGGGTGGGAAGAGGCCTAGAGTCAAGCTAGGGAGAGACCTTGATGCTTGGAAAGTCCAAGTGCTCCCAAGGCCAGGTACGGCTAGGCTGATTGTACCTGAACTCCCTGGGGGAGCTCTAAAAATATGCAGATCCAGGCTAGGGGTAGGGAAGAATGGGGAGTTAGTGTTTAATGGGGACAGAGTTTCAGTTTGGAACGATGAAAAAGTTCTGGAGGTGGATGGTGGTGACAGTTGCACAACAATGTGAATGTTTTTAATGCCTCTGAACTGTACGCTTAAAAATCGTTAAAATGGTAGGTTTTATGTATATTTTACCACAATAAAAACTGCAGATTCTGGGCCCTCAGTCATAGGGGGCTGCTTTGGTAGGTCTGAGGTGGGGCCCAGAAAACTGTATTGGTTAAAAGTTTCCCACGTCATTCAATACAAGTTTGGACGTACTCATCTAATCTGTGAAATGAGGACAACAACTCATAGGGTTGTGGTGAGCATCAGCTCTGTTAGTGTGTGTAAAGTTCTCAGGGCCTGGGATGTAGTAAGTGCTCGGTGTACATTACTATTATCATCTAATCCCATTTCCATTGGAACTCTGCACACTCCTTAAGGCTGTCCAGTATTAGCTCACACCCCTCCAGGCATGGGGACCCTCTGCCTCTCAGGATGGACCACTCCATCTTGGGCCCCCTGAGAGCTGGAGTCACCCTCAGACTGAATGCAGGTTTGTGTGGTGTCTTTCACTGGTCCTGGCTTTCATGGTAGCACTGGCAGTGGTAGAGCAGAGCTGGTCATTAGGAGCCTTCGAGTTCCGTGCCCAGTCCCTGTAGGCAAACTATGTGTTGAGCCTGGGCTGCCCTGGATATTGGTGTCTGTGTCTTTCCTTCAGATCCCAGGCTCTAGTCCAAACCTACACAAGAAGGAAGAGAGGCCCAGAGAGAGAAAGGGCTGGCCCAGGATCATGTAGCAGGGTGTCCAGGAAGCCAAGAAGAGTAGTGGCACCTAGATGGTGAGGGCTGTGTCCTCTAGGAGGGGATGCCAGACCCCCAGAAATGGAATGATTAGGGAGGCTGAGGTATACATGTGTGCGAGGTGGGATTTGTCCTGGTTGGGGGGACGGGCTGCCTGATTCCCTGGGGCCAGCTCTTAGCTGACTTCCCCCTTCTCACACTGAGGGCCATTGAAAGGACTGTCCCTGCCCTGGACCCCTGTCTGCCCCATCTTTGTAAGGGAGCCAAGGCAACTTCCTCTCAGGAGCTCTGCTCCTCCATCAGCCTGGGGACTCCCAAGAACAAGGCCATGTCTCTCCATTAGATCCAAGGCTCCCCAAGGTCCATAGTTCACTCCTGGAGTCCTTGAGCACCTGAGCTGGGGCCAGGGGATGTCCAAGCACCATGCCCAAGTTTGTCATTGGCCCTCCTGGGGAAGCTGCCTCTTTCTAGCCTTGGCCTTGCCCCAGGAAAGGGGGCCCATGGCTGTTCCCTGCCAGCCTCACAGCAGGCCCCACCTTCACTAAATTCCAGTGTGCCTGGCTGCCTGGAGCCCGTGACTCCTATAAATAGAGGCTGTATACACCAGGAGGGGGCCTGGGCTGCATCTGCTTTGAAGCCAGGCAAGACATCTGGTTCCTGTCAACTGGAGGTGGGAGAGGTGAGAGGGGTGGGCCACTTCCTCCCTGGTTCCCCTAGAGCTGGCCTAGGCTGGGCTGAGGGCTCCCCGGACACAGGCCTCATGCTGCAGGAGAACAGGCAAAGCACTGAACTTCAGTCTTTTCATCTGTACAGTGGAGACAGTGCTACAAGCTGGTGTCCCTCTTCTTTACAAAATGGGGAAATTGAGTTTAGCTCAGAGACAAGCGACGTGCCTTAAGTCACTCCACCACTATGTGCCAGAGCTCCAAATCTAACAGGTTCTTTCTGCTCTACCTTCTTGTCTCCTGGCACTGTGTAAAGAATTAATGAGTGGTTCCTAAGTGCCAGGCAGGAGATAAAGTGCTTTATACTTGTGGCTTTATGTTAGCCTTGTAGAAACCTAAGAGGTAGTTATCATTATTCCCGTTTTCCAGACAGAGCCAGTGAGGCCCAGAGTGGTTAACTGGCTTGCCCATGGACACACGACTAGATTTAGAATTTAAACGTAGCTCTAGGAGTTCAGAGCCCATGGGCACCTGAAGGGTCAGTTGGGATTCACATGCATGTATATGTGTGTGTTTGTACGGGCCTGTGGAAATTCCCCCAGGGCTGAGGATACAAGTGTGCATGCCCAGGCCTTCCAGAGTGCTTACCACCTTTGTCCCCACAGGCGCTGAGCAGCAGCATATACAAGAGTGCATCACCCTATGGCTCCCTCAACAACATTGCTGATGGCCTCAGCTCCCTCACTGAGCACTTCTCAGACCTGACCCTCACCTCGGAGACCCGCAAACCCAGCAAGCGGCCCCCGCCCAACTACCTGTGCCACCTGTGCTTCAACAAAGGACACTACATCAAGGACTGCCCCCAGGTAAGGTAGCTCCACCCAGGCAGGGTTCATGGCCCCCTACTGACCTGTGGACTGGCTGCTATGGGTAGGGTAGGTGGAGCACCCCCGCAGGGCCCCTTCTGTGAGCAAGTGGCCCTGTGGCCCTCTGGTCTCCACCTTTTTGTCCTCTCTGGTATTTCTGAGGCAAGGCTGGCTGGCATGGATGGGCCAGAGGCCCAGCTTGGGCCTGTACTGGCTAGTCAGCAATCTGGGTGGGGTACCCCCAAACTAGGTTGTGGTCTTTTGAGTCTTCACCAGTCTTCTTGCCAGGGTGGGTCCTGTTATAGTGGGGCAGGTGGGGGCCAGCAGCCTCCTCACAGCTCTCCTGAGACCCCATTGCCTCACACTCACAGAGAAGGAATGCAGGCTCTGGGCCAGGAATCCAGATGTGTGCCCCTCCCTCAGACCCCGTCTCTGCCTCCTCTGCAGCAGCGATTCCTCCTCAGCCTGCTGCCTGTGAGGGGGGAGGGGGCCATGCCCTGACTTTGTGGTCCCAGCTCAGGTCTGGGTGAAGGCCTCAAGCATTGAGGGGCTGGGCACCTCTCCTTTTGGTGGGAAGGGGACCAGGAGATGGAAGGTATTGGGTGCAGCCCCCGTCTCTCACGCAGTGCTTCTCCATGACATGGCGGGGTCCCTGAGGCAAATCCCACTCATGATGACCCCTGGCTCTCTGACAGACAAGGCTTTGGAATCCTGAGGAGAGAGGTTAACGGTTGTTTTAAATATGGTATAAGGTTATCAGTGATTTTGTTTTCCTATTATTTTTTTCCTACTTTCCAATGTTTTTGTAATGTGATACTACTTTTATTTTATATGTGTAATAGAAACGGAATCCTGGAAACTCAGAAAATCCAAGTGGTGTTACCCTCCAGATCTTGGAAGCCTAGGGTGTGGTTGGGTGGGGCTGGGTCCCTCCAGGACCTGCGGGAGCCTGAGATGTGCTTGTCACTCACTGCTATTCTCAGAAATGGCCATGCCATGCTTTAGGTCCTTGTTACTTAAAGTACAGCCAGGCACAGTCGTCACCTGGGAGTTTGTTAGAAATGCAGAGTCTGAGGCCCACCCAGAAGAGTGTTTGAGTAAGACCCCCAGTGATTCGTGTACACCAGAGATCTCGGCCTCCCCCAACTCCTGGACAAGAGAGGCCTGCCCTGGACCTTGTATAATAGTAGGAGCTGACCCATTGGTGGCTGTCCTCTAGATCCATACCCCAGTGAGCCCTGCCCACCCCTCAATACATGCAGTAAGCAAGGGGCTCTTGGCATGAGGATATCTCAGCAGAGGGTGAGACCTCTACCCACCAGGGGTTCTCTGGATAGGACGAGAGGCAGACAGGCAGCTAAGGATCTGGTTGGTCCTCAAGGATGTGCCCATGGCCTACCCAGTTGGCAACCCCCTGTGCCGTCCCAGCTGAGCCCCCAGGGTAGGGGCTGTCAACTCTCAGTCATTCACAACACCACCTCAAACACTTTTCCCTGCATCATCTCCTACCTCCAACCTGTGAGGTGGGCAGTGCAGGACTTAGCCTCATTTGAGAAGGTGACAGGCACTGTGCTAAGGAATCTCCAAGCATTATTTCATTCAGTGCTCACAACTACTCCATGTGTTAAGTGCTGTTATTAGCCTCATGTTATGTGATGCATTGAGAGAGTCAAGAACTTGCACAGGACCATCTAGCTGGTTGGTGGAGGAGCTGGGATTTTAACCCTGGCGAGCAGGTGACGTTCAGACACCAACATGGGCTCTTGGGGCTTGCGCTGGACTGGCAGCCTGGGAAATCTTCCAGGATATGGAGGGCTTGAGTGGGGCTGGCAGGTTGATGGGAGAAGCGTGGCAGTGTCTCCCACAGTGTGACCAGGTATTATCCAAAGGCCACAGATGGTGAGCCAGAGGTGAAGGCAGGCGAAGGTGTGTATGTGTGTGAGTGTGTGTGCACTCACTGCCCTTTCTCCAGACAGGGCCGGAGCTCCTAAGTGTGGGAGCAGAGTCCCTGACCTCAGCACCTCCCGCTTTCCAGCCCAGAGCTAACCCTGGTTCTTCCTCTATGTGGTTTACACAGCATGCTTGCTTCTCTTATGCAGGGCTCTTTACCCTATGGCAGAAGTCGGATCTATAGCCCCATTTTACAGTTGAAGAAACAGAGTCTTGGAGAGGTGAACAGCTGAGGAGAGGACAGAAAGTGTGTGAGAACCTTGGTCTTGGGACCTCAAGAGCTCTTTGCCTCCTTGAGCGTCCAGACCATTCCAAGCTGAGACTGCCATGGCCTGTGGGGCCCAGTTTCTCCCTTGAGTTGGTAGAGGCCCTCTTCCAGCCCCATCTCAAACCTGATTCTATCCAGGACTCCTGCAGGTCCAAGGATCTCTCTCCACCCTGGAGAGCAGAGGCTGGAAATGTCATTTTCATCATCTGTAAAAGGAGGCTGATGAGAGTGCTAACACAGAGGATTGTTGTAATAAAGGTATGCTTGGGAAGTGCTTAGCACAGTGCCCAGCACACAGTAAGCACTCAGGAAACATTGTAGCATTATTTTTTTCTCCCTTGGGTCGCAATGTTGAGTGCCTCCACCTGGCAAGGTCCTAGATATTTTGGTGGCTGGAATTTAATTAGATACTCCCCACTCCTCATCTGACCACAAGCTCTAGGCACAGGTGCTGGGCCAGATTCATCTCTCTACCCCTCGCTGTCTGATCCTCATGCCAGTGCAAGATAGCACACAGCGAGTGCTCAGTACAAGTCTTCCAGAGTGAAGGAACAGGTGGACAAGGCTTTTGTGAACATAGAAACCTTGATTTCAAATGAAATATTAGATAAGAGTTCAGCATATATAATGTGAAAAAGTGGCATGCTTGTTTTGGTAACAGCTTTAATGAGATATAATTCACATGCCATATAATTTACCCATTTAAAGTGTACAAGTCAATGATTTGTGGTATGTTCACAGAGCGGTGCAACCATCACCACGATCTGTTATAGAACATTTTCATCACCTCAAAAATAAACCTCATACTCTGTAGCTATCCCGCCTTGATCCCCTATTCCCGAACAACAGCTAATCTGCTTTTTGTCTCTGTAGATTTACCTATTTGGGCATTTCATATAAGGTGCGGTCTTCTGTCACTGTATTCATTCACTTAGCATGCTGTTATCAAGGTTCATCCATGTAGTAGTGTTTATCACTTGCATGGTGTGGGAAGTGTTCCATTCTGTTCTATTTTCTGGAAGAGTTTGTGAAGAATTAATATTAATTCTTCTTTAAATGTTTGGTAGAATTCACCCATGAAGCCATCTGAGCTTGGGCTTTCTCTTGTGGGAAGGTTTTTTTGTTTTTTTGTTTTTGTTTTTTTGGTGAGGAAGATTGTCTCTGAGCTGACACCTGTTCCAGTCATCCTCTATTTTGTATGTGGGATGCCACCACAGCATGGCTGATGAGTGGTGTAGGTCCGTGCCTGTGATCTGAACCCATGAACTGGGGCCACCAAAGCGGAGCGTGTGAACTTAACCACTGCACCGCTGGGCCAGCCCCAGGATAGATTTTTTTTAATACTAATTCAATCTTTTTACTTTTTATAGGTCTATTTAAATTTTCTGTTTCTCCTTGAGTCAGTTTCTGTACTTTGTGCCTTTCTAGTAATTTGTCCGTTTCATCTAAGTTATCTAATTTAGAGGCATATGACTCATAATATTCTCATAACTGTTTTTATTTCTGTAATGTTGGTAATAAAGTCCCCCTCTTTCATTTCTGATTCTTGAAATTTGAGTCTTCTCTCTTTTTTTGTGGTCACTCTAACTGAAGTTTTGTCATTTTTGTTGAACTTTTCAAAGAACCAACTTGTGGTTTAGTTAATTTCCTCTATTGTTTTTCTATTCTCTAGTTCATTACTTTTCACTCTAATCTTTTTTTAAATTGCAGTAAAATGATTATAACATAAAATTTATCATCTTGACCTTTTTTTTTTTTGTGAGGAAGATTTTTGCTGACCTAACATATGTGCCAGTCTGCCTCTATTTTATGTGGTATGCTGCCACAGCATGGCTTGATGAGTGGTGCTAGGTCCGAACTTGCCAATCCTGGGCCACCAAAGCAGAGCACACGAACCTAACCATTAAGCCACTGGGCCAGCTCCCGCCCCAATCTTGACCATTTTTAAGTGTACAGTTCAGTGGCATTAAGTCCATTCACATTCTTATGCAACTGTTACCACCATCCATCCACAGAACTCTTTCTGTCTTGCAAAACTGAAAGTCTGTACCTCTTTCCTTCCCTCCCTTCAGCCCCTGGTAACCACCATTCTCTTTCTGTCTGTATGAATTTCACTACTCCATGTACATCATCTAAGTGGAATCCTATAGTATTTGTTCTTTTGCAACTGGCTTATTCACTTACCATATGGCCTCAAGGTTCATTCATGTTGTAGCATTGTCAAAATTTCCTTGCTTTTTTAAGGCTGAGTAATGTTCCTATGTGTTTGTGTGTGTGTGTGTGTGTGTACCACATTTTGTTTATCCATTTAGCTATCAATGGACAGCTGGATTGCTTCCACCTTTTGGTTATTGTGAATAATGCTGCTATGAATATGAGTGTACAGATATCTCTTTTGAGTTCTTGCTTTCAATTCTTCACTCTAATCTTTATTATTTTCTTCCTTCAGCTCACTTTAGGTTTAGTTTACTCTTCTTTTTCTAGTTCCTTGAGGTGGAAGTTTAGGTTACTGATTTTACATCTTTCTTCCTTTTTTTGAGGGTTGGGGGGGAAGACTAGTCCTGACCTAACATCTGCCAATCCTCCTCTTTTTGCTGAGGAAGACTGGCCCTGAGCTAACATCCGTGCCCATCTTCCTCTATTTTATATGTGGGACGCCTATCACAGCATGGCTTGACAAGTGGTGCCATGTCTGCACCCGGGATTTGAACCGGTGAACCCTGGGCTGCCAAAGGGAAATGTGCACACTTAACTGTTGCACCACCGGGCCAGCCCTTTCTTC